CATTGCCATCCTCCCTGAGAGCCCAGGCAGCTGTTTCTCACTTGGATTACAACAACCTCTTCTTAACAGACCACTCTGCCTCCACTCTTGCCTTCTTACAGCCAGCATGATTTTTAAAATGTAAATGGTGCTGTGTCACTGCTTTGGTTAAAACCATTCAATGGCATTACCTTTGCTCTGAAGATAAAGACCAATAACCTTAATGTGACTTGCAGGGCTCTTGGGCCTTATTTCACAGCAGCCTTGCCCACCCTTCTTATATTTTCTTCAATCTATCACCCTACACCTTCACACAAACTCTTCTTTCAGCCTGGAATGATCTCCCAAATGACACTGGCTTGTCCTTCAGTGTCCTCAGAGACCTTCACATGGATATTATCTCAGGTGATCCTCCTGTTTTAGTCTCTGTCGCCACACCTTGTTTAGTGATTTATTTGATTGTCAACAGGTTTGTAGGCTCCCCTACCTATGCCAAATAGGCAGAGACTATTATATTCACTCTACTTCTAGTGCTTATTTCAGTGCCTTGCATGATGAAAGCACTTAATAAATATTGCTAGACAAATGGACAAATGAATGTTTTAAAACAGGAGGGTGGCATTGACAGGACTGGGTCTTTGAAAGGTCTCTGGCTGCAGTGTGGAAAGGGAAGAAAGTGGATGGGTACCAGCAGGAGGGAGGTGGCTGCCATCTAACCTGGGCTTAAGATCTCAGTGGACCGACTCTCACTATTGAGAGATTATGATTAAAAAACAAAACAAAACAGACAGGTTTTACATAAAGGCTGAGACAGAAAGGGAGAAGTCAAGAGGGTGATCTCCTGGGAGCCCTACCTTACTTTAAACAGCCATTCTGCTTTATATAATAGGGATCTGTGTAATATCCATTAAGAAAGGGCCCCACAAACTGATTTCAGCCTTCTCCCATAATGCAAAAACCACCAGACTAAAGGTCAGGAGCCCTGAGTTCCTGTCCTGTCTATTTTACTGGATGCCCTTGGTTAAGTCCCCTGCCTATCCTGAACCGTGGGGTGGGAAAGGGATCTGGATAATTTCTGAAGTCAGGTCAGTGCTAACAGTCTACACAATGTGGTTGCTCTAGCCACAGGCCTTGTTTAGTCTGATCTTCTCGCCTCCTTAGAGGCTGATGAGAAAGGGCCAATGATACCAAGGATTCAAGTCTTATGTCTTACCACATGCTTTGGTATAAAGGGTCAAGGTCAATTATCAGCATCAAAGTCCAAAGGGGGAGAAGTGGCTCAATCTAGGGTCAGGTTAGCCAGCAAGAACCCCAGGATTCAGACTACATACAGAACTCTGGATCCCCAGGGCAAGGGTAGCTAGCAGCCGAGACAGGTTGTTCTGTCTTTGGATACTTGGGCTAGGGTCAGGCAGAACCTCAATCAAAATCTGTTCTATAGATTGTGCAACATTTCTTGACAGTCCCTCTTCTGCATACTGTGCTGCCATTGTCTGTGGACATGTGTGACTCTACCTCAAGATTGTCAGCTTCTCCAGGACAATGACAAAATCAGATTTGTTTGTTAATCCCTGGCACTGTGGAGTGAGGGAAAATAGGGTAGGATAATAGCTATATTCATTGGATTGATGGACACACAAASCACATATTTTGAGGGAAATTCTGGGACTCAACAGGCACATTGGTACTCAGGGAAACCTCATGCTTTTCTGATACCCAGCTGCCTAGCTTACTGTAGCTGTGTTCATTTATCCAGCAAACATTTACCACACATCTACTAATTGCTGGACCATGGGATGTATGCTGTGGGATATTTAAAAATCAATAAGAAAGGGTCCTTATCAAGGCCAAAGATTCTAGAGCCTAACTTCCCAAATTTGAATCTTTTCCCTGAAGCTTTCTAATAGTCCAATAGTTAGCAATTTATTCACTCTGTGCCTCAGTTTCCTCATCTATAAAATGAAACAAATAGTAATACCTACTTTATGCATTATTAAGATATTAAATGCATTGATTATTTTAAAGCTTTTAGAGTACTCAACACATGGTAAGTACTATTTAAATGTTAGTTATCAGTCTGTGTTCTTAAGTCAGGAATAGAGGTGATAAGCCCAACTCAGAATAACCACAGCAGACTGGTAAGTAGAGGTACAATTTGTTGAGGTAGCGGTAGAGGAGACATGGTGGAGGAAGCAGGCTCTGAGCTGAGTCTTGTGGGCTAAATACAAATTTGATTCACCACGCCATAGTGTGTCATCCTTAAAGAAAAGGGGGAAAGTAAAACACCATGTGCCTAATGTTCCTTTTCCAAAAACCTTGCCAAGTTAAGGGGAAAATAAGAGCAAGCATGGATCAGACTGTCCAGATAAAAACTATCTTGAAGGAAATGGGCTTTCTCTTTGTACAATGGGAACTAGGTCAAGTTAGTGTTCTGTAGAAAGCTACTCTTTTACATGTACACTATGATAGTTGCTGCTTGTGATGCTGTTTACACAGCAAACTAAGGTAAACTAATGCTGATGAAGTCACTGCTTTTACAATATAACATATAAAAGCCCTGTTTCTCTCTCTCTCTCTCTCTCTCTCTCTCTCTCTCTCTCTCTCTCTCTCTCTCTCCCTCCCTCCCCCCCCTCCACTGGAGAAACTGAGAAACTAAGAGCAATTAGTAGAAAGGATATGCNCACTATGATAGTTGCTGCTTGTGATGCTGTTTACACAGCAAACTAAGGTAAACTAATGCTGATGAAGTCACTGCTTTTACAATATAACATATAAACTCTCTCTCTCTCTCTCTCTCTCTCTCTCTCTCTCTCTCTCTCTCTCTCTCTCTCTCTCTCTCTCTCTCTCTCCCTCCCCCCCCCCTCCACTGGAGAAACTAAGAGCAATTAGTAGAAAGGATATGCATCATTCATCCAGCTGGTTGCCACTGGACAAAATGCCGTGAGGGACAGGAGCCAGTGCTCGGCAAACCACTTTGAGGAATGGAGGTACTATCTGTTCACCTGCTGCCACTGAACTCTTCTTGGAGCAGTCACTGATCTCTTGGCGGGCTTTTCCCAGCAAATCATATGTCCTGCATGCCATCTCAGGGCACTTTCTTTAGCCTCAGAAACCTACCCTATTTTCCTGACATACGTGGGCTGTGGACACGACATATGGACTGCATATTTTTTGCAGGTGATGCTAGTCCTTGCATCTTGAGAACATGGGATCATTAGGGACATGGAGGCTACCTTGATCCTATGCTTCTGTTTTTTGGTTGGTACTTTGGTGAAAGGTCTCAATTCAAGGACACACAGCAAGTTATTTAGAAAATCATTCATCTATTCTGCAAGTATTTATTGAGAATTTTTATTTATTTATTTATTTATTTATTTATTTATTTTTCTCGGCGGACACAACATCTTTGTTGGTATGCGGTGCTGAGGATCGAACCCGGGCCGCACGCATGCCAGACGAGCGCGCTACCGCTTGAGCCACGTCCCCAGCCCCTTTATTGAGAATTACTGGGTGCCAGGCTCTAGGCAAAATGGGAACCCAGGGATAAAGCAAAGAGTTCATTCTCAAATGAACAGTGATGGAGATGGAACATGACCCCTGATCCCTGGCCTCCCTATTTAGGACTCCTGTATGTCAGAACACATTTCAGGCTGGGGCACTGAGGTAATTTTCTTCAAGAACCAAGTCTTTTGAGTTTCTTTCCCCACCTAAAACATATTTATAAGCTTTAGGTACCATGGGACAGGGCCTTATGTAATCTAACCTCTTTTTCCCTCAGAGCCCCTGGCTATCTAAAAGGTTTGTTTATTTTTTCAACCAAAGTGCTGCCATTGATGACTCACAATGACTTTTGTGATCTGGTCTGAAACCTACCATTGTCTATCTTGCCCATGCTAGTCTGTCTTCCTTCCCAACTTTTTGGCTCTGAGCCTCACTCTGATTGCTGTTCTGTTCTTCCTCTTACCACTTCCTGCCCTACCCACCCCTGGGGACTGTTTCCCAAATACAGGAGGATTAGTTAATAATTGAGTGTTTACATTACCTTAGCCCCACCACTTGCATACTGAATCTAACCACACACCCTGTGCAGGGGTTGCCTTCCTGTTTAGAAGGGGAGTGGAAGGGAGAGGGAGAGATTATACTTGTCCTGGTTTCTTCTCTTGGATAGTGGCTTCATAATTCACAGAGATCTTGTATGCCTCAGGGACAGCACCTGGAAGTGACTTTTTAAGGGCCTAGAAAAATGTTCAAATGTTTAAGAACAGACCCCCCCCTTTAAAACAGATTTGCTCAAATGACACTCAGTGGGTACTGTGGGCCACTATCAGAACTTAATCACTGATTCCTCCAGCTTCTAGGAGTGGGTTGCTAATGACTCACGACTGAGTTCCTCTCTGGGACCTGACTGTCCACCACTAAAGGAAGCTGGCTTACCAAAAGTCTCAGTGCCTTTCTAGGGCAGCCTGTATCAGTGGATGGTCAATGCAAGGATCTAAATTTCTGACTCCTTGCTTCAATTTGGAATAACTGATGGTTCATACCAGGCTCAGAGCACTCCTTGGGTTTGGCTAAGGCCTCTGATGTAATTGTTTCAAAGTGCAACTTCTTCCTCCTCAATCCTGCTATCTATCATCCTCCTACAGGTGATGGTCTTGAAGGACAACCCTCTCCTGCCTTTCATAAAACCTCCTGCACGGTAATCTCCATCTTAGAATCTTCTAAAAAGTCAACCTAACACCACATTACCGTGTTTTATTTTTCTTTTCAGAGCACTTATCACTATGTGAAATGATGTAATTTAATACTTTAATGCACTTGCTAGTTGTCTGCTGTAAGAATGTACGGTTACCAACGCAGATCTTTCTCATACACAGTGTACCCCTGTATCGCGCGCCCAGGACAGTGCCTGCAGGAACAGCACATACTAAATACTGATTATTGAAACTAATGAATGGATGACGCCGAATCTTCTGATCACACAGCTTCTCCGGAGCTTACACCAGGACTCCGGAACAGCGATTTGGGGCGTGGCCTTGAATCCCCGCCCTCCGGCCCAGGCAGGGGGCCGGGTCCAGGACGCCACCGCCAGTAAGATGTCGCAACCCGGGGTTCGGCTGGTGTGGCTGGGTCGCGTGCAGTATGCTGAGCTACTGGCGCTACAAGAGCGCTGGCTGCGGCGACTGCAGGCCGAGCCTGCAACTAAGGCCTCGTCGGGGACTGAGGCGGGCGCGCTCCTGCTGTGCGAGCCCGCGGGGCCCGTGTACACAGCCGGGCTGCGGGGTGGCCTGACACCGGAGGAAACGGCGCGGCTGCGGGCCTTGGGCGCCGAGGTGCGTGCCACAGGCCGCGGCGGCCTAGCCACCTTCCACGGCCCGGGGCAGCTGCTTTGCCACCCGTTGCTGGACTTGCGGCGCCTAGGCCTGAGCTTGCGCACTCACGTGGCGGCGCTGGAGGCGTGCGCCGTGCGCCTGTGCGAACTCCAGGGCCTCAGAGGCGCCCGCGCGCGGCCCCCGCCCTACACCGGCGTCTGGCTGGGCGAGCGCAAGGTTTGCGCAATCGGTGAGCGCCGCGGGGCGGGGCCTGGGGCTGGACCCATGGAGGTGAGGGTAGAGCTCTGGACCGAGCAGGGGTGACCCTAGTGGGCTTTGAATCCGTACTGCGCGCTGCTGCGTTTGAAATTTTTTAGCCTCTTCAGAGACATCTTATATCCAGAAGCAGTAGGGTCCTCAGAAGTCATATATAGTCCAACACTTTTTTTTAAGGGCGGAGAGACTTAAAAAGTGAATTGCCAGATTACTTGTGAATCACAATGTGAAAACAGGACACTAATTTTCAAACTTTTAAAGCAATAATCCTTCTATTAAAGGAATCCCCATAATAAGACCGCTTGGTTTGGTAGCCGATGTCCCCCAGTCTGTGCACAATCCATGCTCCAGAAACAAAAATTGAAAACCAGTCATCTGGCCTACTTCCCTCTTTGTGCTGAGATCCCAAGGCCTGGGAAGAGGAGGCTATCTATTCTAAAACCCTTTGACTTGCCTTGCAGGAGTTCGTTGTGGAAGGCATATCACATCCCACGGCCTGGCTCTGAACTGCTCTACGGACCTCACATGGTTTGAGCATATTGTACCTTGCGGACTGGTTGGGACAGGCGTCACTTCCCTAAGTGAGGAGCTCCAGAGGCACATCACCGTGGATGAAGTAATGCCATCTTTCCTTGTGGCCTTTAAGGAGACGTACAAGTGCACACTGGTCTCGGACCACAGCCCCAGCTAAAGAGTATTCATGTTATCCCAGCCAGGATGACCCTGTCTTAGAAACCACCAAATCTGACTTGAGTCACTGGAACCCCAGTTCTAGACCTGGCTTATTATTCACTGACTGTGAGACCAAGGGCAAATCATGAGCTCTGAACCATTGTCTGCTTATGTGTTGCAGTTTAATTATATTATCTTTGCCTACCTCAGGTTCTAGATTGAAAACATGAAAAGAAACATGCTGTATAACATTAGTATGGCCAGTTTCTCAGCCTAGAGAAACTCAGATGTCATAGACTGACATTCTCAATTGTTTGTTACTTTCCTAATACTGTATCTAATTGAATATTTCTGGTGGAGTTCCATTGATTTTTGTAGGAATCAAATCCCTGGATGGCCCACATTAAAGTGATGTGATGTGGCACTTTTTGCATTCTCAAGAGACCTGGGTGCCTTCTGCAATAAAGGGAAGAGCATTATCAAAGAAAAAAGTGGGATCTTGTCTTCCTGGGTTAGATTCTTCAAGTTTGATAATTTCCCTGTTTTGGGTTGGGATACCCTGAACTGGGTCAGAGGTTACAGGAAGAACAAGAATAATTTCTTGGGCTGGGGATATAGCTCAGTTGGTAGAGTGCTTGTCTTGCGTGCACACGGCCCTGGGTTCAATCCCCAGCACCACAAAAATAATAATTTTTCACACTACAAATGCTGAAGAGGAAAGTGAATGTTCCTACATGAGACCCTTAAGTTTAGGATGCTGTGTACTGGTTGCCTCTTGCTGCATAATGAGTCACCAAAACTTATTGACTTAAAACTATAGTAAACATTTATTATCTCATTTTTTGTAGATCAAAAATTTGGGAGAAGCTTAGCTGGATGTTTCTTTTTTTTTAATTATCAAATTTTTTAATTGATTTTATTTTTTAACTACATGACAGCAGAATGCATTACAATTCTTATTACACATATAGAGCACAATTTTTCATATCTCTGTATATAAAGTATGTTCACACCAATTCATGTCTTCGTACATGTACTTTGGACAATGATGTCCATCACATTCCACCATCATTGCTAACTCCTTGCCCCCTCCTTACTCCTCCCACCCCTCTGCCC